ACAGGGCTTAAATAAAACTGAATGTTTCACAGAAAAGGAGGGAAACAAAGCTTTTATGAATAGAAAGTGAAAGCTAGTAAAGATATAATGATGACAGCCTCATTCAAACCTGAAAAAGTTCACTCAGATGTAGATGGTTTTCTTTGACAAACTATATATATATATATATTGTTTGTATGCAACAAAAAGTTAAGGCCTGTTTTCAAGGATTTTTTTTAAATATCAATTTTCATATCGTATTTTTCAATTATGATAAATTTCCAACAGCATCGTAGATGTGACAGAATTATAGTCCATATTACTTTTAATTTAATTTATTTCATAGAAAATAATGATAAGGCACTGAGCTTCATGAAAGTAATCTGATTTTTAAAATAATGTTGTTTAAATGTTTATGTTCAATATTCCATGAATCAAGATTTTCAGCTTTTTTTTTACAAAGTAAACATATCACACAATCTTTTCTCAATAATTTAATAATAATAATAATAGCATTTTTCTTTTTTTATCGCAGGCAGTACTGTACTTGTTTACGAAACCAAAACGCGTACGACTTGGCAAAAAAAGTTTAGTGCCAATTGGCGCAGCTTTCTAATTTAACAGAGTACATGGTAAAAGAATATAAAATCAATTATTTATTATTTATAAAGGATGATTCCAGTAAATGTCACAGTATTTAATACATTTTGATGATAATACATGCTGAAAATGTCATATACAGCAGCAATCTTCTTATACAATATGGCCGAAACTTTCCAACTAGTTCAACAGAGATAGTAAAATGACAAAACTACTGAAAATAAAATAATAAATCACACAACTAATAACATAATAAACTTTCCTATAAAAGGTTACAGCTACTTTTACAAAACTTTCTTTACATCCATAGGTGCTGCAGCGGATAACCATTGTTTCTTAAATTTTATGTAACAAAGCAGAGCAGTCATCTTTCCTCCAAATGAATGTAAAGTATTTTCCGGACTTTCGGAATTCGCTCATAAGTCATGTAACACTAATGCTGAACCCTGTTGGAGGTTGCAAATATGCTGTCTACCAGTATATGTCTCTTTGGTTGATATAATACAAACAAAATAAACATTCAATAGTTATAATAGACACACATGTTCGTTTATTCAAAACTCATGGGAGCCTGAAGGTCTGAAACAGCGGTTGCAGAAGGCACAAAAGAAATGGGTTAATAGGGGGTATGGTCCCCTCTTACAGCCATACGTGGACATCTCGCAGTGTGTTGTCATACTGGAAATAAGGCAGTTTATCAGTACCTGTGGCAATTGGTCCCCCTCATTCAGCAACGCTGCTTTCAGTTCCTGGATGGTTTTCGAATGGGTGTCGCGAGTTGCAATTGCCCTCCCCAGAATGTCCTACACATGCTCTATAGCAGTGACCCTCAAGCACTGTGCCATGGCACTTTTGTGTGCCGCCAAATTTTAGAAATGTATATAGTAAAAATTATAATGGGTTTAATCCTAGTATGCGGTACACATGAGAATTGGCGAAATTCGGTTTTTAAGACATTAATATGCATGCCAATTGTGGTATCCAAGCCGATTTTGGTGCCGAAGACTTCTGTATTTGAATTAACTTTGAACGAAGAGGGAGAACTAATTTCGCTCTCTAATAATCGAGGTTTAATTTTAAAATAGTCGGAAGAATCAATTAATTCATTTTGGATTAACATTAGATGCGGTTATCCCATGATGGCCAAAATAGCTTTAAAAATATTATTACAGTTTTCTACATCTTATTTGTGTGAATTCGGATTTTCAGTATTAACCAACATAAAAACGAAAAAAGATCGAGACCGTTAAATGTAGAAGACGATATGAGAGTAGCATTGTCATTTTTACGACCGAATATAAATTAAATTATAAAAAACTAAACTAAAACTAAACTCAGTGGTGTAACAGCTCTAGTGGGCCAAGGCCTTACAGTGCCCAAAATCTGCTTTCTTGACCGTGGGCCCAGGGGCCACAGTTTAAAATTGATTGAATTATGTTGTTATGCCTTTAGCTAATATATATGCAATAGTTGTAGATTTATCGACAATTTAAAAGTTGTTTAAGTGTGGCTAAGAAAATTCTGTTTGCCATAGCAGCCATATTTGTTTACATTTGAAATTTAGCAGAATCGTGAATTCAGTTTCTACACCTTCAGTGTCTTTGACGAGAGGGACCGAAATTATTAAACTTTCATTTTTGTGCACTGAAAACTCTGCCTTGTTGCCTGCTGCCCGAATTGCTTGTTTTTGCTTAGAAACTCTAATTTTAATTGTATTTGGTGTTTTACTTTTTTCTACATTTTTCAATTTTTAATGAAGATATTTCGAGGTTTTATATGCCTTGTTGCAAACCAAGGACAGAATTAATTGAATGAGAAACATATCTCTAATGAAATTTCAGAAATGAAGCGTTTTATATTAGCAGCAAATAATGTCGCCAGTCTGTCTTGGACAGAGGAGAATGTTTACGGGTAGCACATGTGCATTAACAAGCAGCGCTGAATCGTCCTCGAAAAACTGTTTATTTTTTATTTGTTCAACTTCTTTTATACATCGCTTCAGATTCATTATAGTGTTTGAATAGAACATGTGGCAATGATTAGATAATTCTTCAGATGATATAATTTTTGTGCATTCTGAGTTGTAAAATGAATGAGATGTAAGGCTGTTAAGTGAACCTAGCCCAGAGTGTCGCTATGGTAAATAAATATAGTGAATTTTAAAGAGTGCATTTATTGTATTGTGATTTATGCACTATGACCAAGTAGATTTAATTCAATAAAGTTTAAACAAAATGCAGGAAAAAATGTGTGTAATTTAATATTCCATACAAGAAAGTCATGTGGTGTACACATCAGATTTTTTTTTTTAAAATAAAAGCCACTAAATGAGCAGCAAAAGCTAAAAGTCTTTCAGACGGAACAGCTGCTCAACCTGAGGTTTCTTGTCTGCAGGTTAAGACTTAAGTATTATTCCTTTGCAGGGTTTCTAGATATCACCATTTTGTGCTACCAAAGAAGGTTCTACAGCATTATAATGACCATTTGTATAACATCCTTTTTGAGTCATTCAACTGTTTTGCTTTAGGCGACATTAGGTGAAATACTTAAAACATTTTCCATTCCATTAAACTTCAAACATTCCCAGCAAGCAAAATTTAAATACCCAGAACAGTATTAAAATAAAATTAAACTACATTTGCTTTGAAATTTAGAATTTGAAATGTTTTATAGTTTTAAATTTCATGTTTAATAGATAGACATGAAAACAGCAGTTTTGAGCAACATAGCTTTAAATTAGACTTATGATATTTGGGGGTTTTTATACATGTTTTACTTCCTTGTACAAGGTAGATGAAGTATTGTAATCACGAAAATTGTGGGTATCATATTTCAACGAAAATATCCATTCTGACAGCTATCAAATTCAGTTTAATGATGTTTTTGCGTGACATCTGTATGCAAGGACAGAATAAAGGACTCTTTTTCCCCAAACGAATTATAAAACTGGTTTAAAATGAATCCAAAAGAGATTTTTTTCGTGGCGTCTATACATACGTACTATGTATGTATCTCGCATAGCGCAAACATAGCCTCGGAACATTGAAATTTTTTATTCTTGCTATAACACATAGTTGTGCACCTCCGATTTTGGTTGAAATCAGCCGCACCAGAAGTATATAAATATATACCCACTTCTGTTACTCCTCAGAGAGTTCATTTTTTTATTCTTATATGTTGGTAAACTGTGCATTTTTTGCTTTAAAAATGATTGAATATATTGTTCTTATCATCTGGTTAAGGTTTTTATGCCTTTAGTTAATCTGCAATGCCAATAGTTATAGAATTGTCAACAATTTAAAAGTTGTTTAAGTACGGCTGAGGCTAATTCTTTTAACAATGACAGCCATATTTGTTTACATTTGAAACTTGGCAGAATAGTGAATTAAGTCTTTCTGCACCTTCAGTGTCTTTTTGTGGAGTGGGACCAAAAGGAAACTTTCAGTTTTGAGCATCGAAAAACCTGCCGTTTTGCCTGCTGGCCAAATTGCTTGTTTTGGCATAGAAACTGTATTAATTGTATTAACTGTATTTGGTGTTTTATATCTTTCTATGTCTTTCAATTTTTAATGAAGATATTTTGAGGTTTTTGCTTGCCACGAAATGAGAACTGAATTAATTAAATGATATATGTAGCTATATTGAAATTTGAGGAAATAAGTTTAAATGAAGGAAAAATGTATATAATTTAATACTCCATACAAGGAAGTCATGTGCACATCATATTTTTTATTTTTGTACTTAAATAAATTATGGCCAGTTAAACTGGAGACCCGGTTAAAACGGAAGTCTACTGTAATGCCTTTGTGCGAACTCGGGGAAAGTTGTGTAACTGCAAATAAAAAGTAAGCTCTGCTATGAAAGTATCAGTCTTTCTACAAATTAATCTTAATTCAGTTTGCCTATGTAATCTTAAAAGTCTACTGATGTTAATTATCATGAACACCCAGCTGAAATCGTAATAATGTGAATGAAAATTTCTCAAAAACTTGAGAATATATATTAGAAGATATATTAAGCCATATTTCATTTTACAGATGGTGAACTGGAGGTTACTTATTGCCTGGATATTAATGCTAATCCTATATCTGAAATATTAATATAACAGCTGCGACCAATAACTGCACCACTCAGCTGCTCCAATATTTCTGTCACATTTCATGGTATTTCCTGCAAAGTTCTTAAATAACATGGGTATCAGAAATAGTTTGTGAAGAGTATGGTATTGCAATCAATTTCATTTCGGTATTCTCCTAATAGGCGATCTACCTTACTTAACTGTGTATTTACTTAATTCCTGCCCTTCCCCATGGTGCAATTAATAACACTACAGCTAACATGAAAGCATGCTGTGATATATGTACACAAGTCAGGAGAGATCACATTCCATATTAAATTCATAAGCCTTATGTTTTTCTTAATTTTTTTTTTTTTTTTTTTTTTTTTTTTTTCTGAACTCTCCTTACAACATATTGTTACCATTTCTATTGTTTCATCTACAGTTTTTTTATAATATGCAATGCTCTCAAGTGTTTTCCTTTGTATATGCACATGTAATGTATCACTCTACCCAAATTCATAAAACTATAGTACACCGTTTCTGAGAAATATGTGATTCCAAAAATATAAAAATAATTTTGGACATAAGTGTATTTAAATTTATTACTTAGTCTTACTTTGGCAGAAGCATTTCTGTATTTCAAGAAAAGTAGCATAAAAATTGTACATGATTTGAAAAATCATATTTAAATGCAAATTTCTATATTCTGCTTAATTAAATTTAACTACTTCTAAAGGAATCCGATAAAGAAATAAAACATAAGAAAAAGATATTCCAAAATGAGCAATGAAATGTATAATAATTAAAACTTTTTACATAATGTTATGAGGAATTAAAACCATGTGATAATTCAATTTAAAATATGTCCAGTTTTAAGTATTTTATAAAAACAAAAATTAACCCAATAATTCAAGCTTTTTTTTTTTTTTTTTTTTTTCCTTTCCGCAATATGCAAACACTGCATAGAACAATAAAAAGCAAATATTATTCAAATAAATTATTAATTCCCTAAATTTTTAAAAAACTTTATTTAAAAAGTAATTATAGCCACTTAGGCATTCTCAGTCAATTTCAAAATATAAAGCTTAACAGAAGAAAAGACTAAGCAAAAGGATCTGCCCATGTTCCTATTAAATCTCTAACATTCCTCAGTTTTTCTTTTGATGGACTTTCAACCTGAGAGGTGAAGAAAAAAATATTTTATTAAATCAAAAATCATGTAAATATATACCAAATAAACACCTTATACACAAATAGGAATCTTACACATACACACACGCAGATTTTTAAGAAAAAGAAGGAATTATGTTGTAGTGGTACTGTTTTGCAATAATTTTTTCCGCTTTTTTGATACAGGATTTTATATATATATATATATATATATATATAATCACAACATGTATAGTTTTTGTGCAAGTAACTATTTAAAAACTCTGATGAGACTCTTTATTTAAGAGCTACTCCATATATTATTCTGAAATGTTACCTAATTCCCTCTTTTGCATATTAGAAGATGAAAATCTCTTTTGCATATTAGAAAATCCATGACTTTTATCTTGTAAACTTCAAGATAAATAATTTTAAGTATATTGGCTTTTTGAATTTTATCTTTTTTCCATAACGCTATAAGACTTCTATTTTTTGTAGGATTTTTTTTCATTTTTTCTCAATTTGGAAAATTTTCTGCATAAATTATTATTAAAAACCTCTTATTTTAGTTTTAGTAATTTTTTTTACAATATAAATTCATTTCCTGAAAAATATTTAATACTTTTGATTTACATTATTTGATTTTGATTTCCAAAGTTTTTTTAGTAATTTTGCATTTTTGTTGGTTTGAAATTAATTTAAATATTTATTTAGCACATTGATTTCAATTTACCCAATGGTTTCTCTGGTTTCATACTTTCAAAATTCATTTTTTAATGTTGTTTATATTTTTACAGTACTTTTCATTTTATTGTCACATCGGAGCAGATTAAATCTTGTTGATTAATTAAAATTTAATTTTTTAAACATTTGTTTAATTCCACTTATAACATATGTTAATTAAAAATATTAATTTAATTCATTTTTTATTTGGCACTTTCTTTTGAATTATTTCAAGAATTCAAAATTATCCAGATATAATTTAGAAATGCAGCTCTTCGGTGCCTCCTTGAAAAAGACCAAGAAATTTTTAAAAATTCATTATATTAATATTATCACATCATATTAAGTTATTTGATTGAATTGTTTTTCTTTTTAATGTATGTGCTTACTATTAAGCTGCTAACCTGCTTTTTTAACTTAATTGTTATCTCTTGATTATTATATTCTATATGTGTTTGTTTGTGTGTGTGTATATATTGTTGCGTGCGTACGGGTTCGTTATGAAATGAATGCACAAGTCCGATGAAAAATGAACAAAAATTTATTATTATCACAACAAAAATGCTTAAATTTTCTCAAATTATCATGCAGTATTACAATATCTCACAGTAGTTTTCTTTTAACTACTCAAATGTCAATAGAACGTAATTCAAAACAGCTAAAGAACGCTAATCCGCGAATTCGCTACAATCAACAACAGTAGTTTTCTAAACAACAACAAACTAAGCAACTACTACAAACTGAGATGTTTTCCTCTTTTTATAAGATTTTAAAATCACGCGCTAGAATTTTCCAGTACTTTCTCGAAATCAAAAAGAGATATTTATTTATTTAATGCACGCGCTCTTGTATTTTCAATTTTCCGGCTTAGCTTTCTTTTAATATTCGTCACGCGCTGCACTGCGTGAGAAATAAAACCATTTAATTTATAATTGAACTAACATTAGCTTTTTAAATACCAAATTCGTAACACTGCCCCCTTCCCAAGGACTGCACGTCCCGGGCAGTACAATCCCTGGACAGGAAGCAAAACTTACAACTGAGGCATAAATGCAATAATAAGTATTACATTACAATAACAACATGAACAATAAATGCAATAACTAACTTAAACAAATCAAATGCTATTAAGTACTAAATATAAATCAAGTCAAATAAAATACACATTAAGAAACAAAAAGGACCATGGTCTTATACTATTTAAAATTATTTACACTACATACTGTGGAATTACTTACACTACTATACTTTACACTACATACATATTATACATAAATTATTTACACTACATACTGTGGCCAGGTGGTAGTAATGAGCTAACCTGTCGTAATGAAACGATTTAGGTTTCAGAGTTCGAATGTCTTACGAATCCGAACCACGACGTCATTCAGCCTGTTTAGGACTGTGTACAGACCATTCCCATGGTGACTGTAATTTCGGACAAAGTCCTTTCCGTCGAGTCGGATTCCACAACCACACCTTGTCTCCTTCGTGGAATTGATGTTCAGTAGCTCTTGTGTCGTATCGGGTCTTCATCTTCTCCGTCGCCAAGTTGACTCGCTCTCGTGCAAAATTGTGCATCACTTCAAAACCGGGGGCCTGGAGATCTTGAATATATTCCTCAGACGATGAAGGAGCATCCGGAGGGCGGCCAAACAATAGATCACAAGGCAGACGAAGGTCAAGACCGAAGAGCATCTGTGATGGAGAATAGCCGGTAGTCTCGTGGACAGCACTGCGGTAAGCCAGTAAAAAGAGTGGTAATTTCTTGTCCCAGTCCTGTTGGTTTCTGGAAACCACTAATGAGAGGTTATTAAGGATGGTTCGATTGAACCTCTCTACCATGCCGTCCGACTGGGGATGCAATGGCGTCGTTTGAGTTTTGTCAATGCCAAGTAGTTTGCATAGTTCTTTGATTACTGCCGAGGCAAAATTCCTTCCCTGATCGGAATGTAACTGAAGAGGCACTCCGAACCTGGAAATCCAGTGCTGTATCATTACCTCAGCTACTGTGACTGCCTCTTGATCAGGAATAGGATAAGCTTCAGGCCACTTGGTGAAGTAATCAATGACAACGAGTATGTATTTGTTGCCATCAGCAGTTCGTGGCAGAGGTCCCAGGATGTCAAAGGCGATACGTTCAAAAGGCGCACCTACGTTGTAACGTTGCAGTCTGCCTCGGCTGCGTTTCCTCGGTCCTTTCCGACCTGCACAGGCATCGCAAGATCGGCACCACTTTTGCACGTCATTCTTTGCATTATTCCAGTAAAAAGCGCTCACGAACTCTCTGTAAGGTCTTCATAATTCCAAAGTGACCTCCTGTAGGGCCGTTATGTAGTTCTTTGAGGACATCAGGAATCCGGGATCTCGGAAGTATCAGTTGCCATCGGAACGTCTTCCCATCATCCGACTCGAATTTCCGGTATAATAAGACGCCGTTTCGAATGTGAAGTGAATCCCAGAGTGCCCAGTATTGTTTTGTTGTAGGACTACAGATAGAAATGTCCTGCCATGTAGGTTTTCTGTTTGATGACTCTATTAAATCAAGTATGGGTTTAATGTCGCGGTCTTCCAGCTGGTCTTTCCTGACTTCATCATCACTCCACGGGTCTCGAGCAGCCGATGTTGATGTTGTAATTTGTCTTGCGACCGGAGTCAGCAGTTCATATTTCGCTTCCACCGTGGAACAATATCGGCAGTTTTCTTGGCAAGGTCTTCTAGACAGGGCGTCGGCGTTTCCGTGTGATGATCCCTTACGATGACGGATAGTGATGTCATATTCTTGGAGTCTCTGTATCCACCTGGCTATTTGACCCTCAGGATTTTTGAAATTTAAAAGCCACGTCAATGAGGCATGGTCCGTGCGGAGGAGGAATTTTCTCCCGTATAGATAATGATGGAAATGTTCTACAGCTTTGACTATGGCGAGCAACTCTTTCCTTGTGACACAGTAATTCCTCTCCGGTTTAGACAGGCACTTGCTCCAGTAAGCTACTACACGTTCTTGGCCGTCTATTTCTTGGGACAAAACAGCACCAACACTTTCATTGCTCGCGTCGGTGTCGAGAATAAATGGTCTGTCGAGCTGAGGATACGTCAGGATTGGAGCAGATGTTAAAGCTTCCTTTAAGTTGTTAAATGCATCCTCGCATTCCTTTGTCCACAAGAATCTTTGCTTGCTCTCTGTCAGCTTGTGAAGTGGTCTTGCGATGGAAGAAAAAGTTCTTCACGAATCTCCTATAGTAGGTGCAAAGCCCTAGGAAGCTTCTCAGCTGATGGGCATTTTCGGGACGCGTCCAGGATTTAACCGCTGATACCTTTTCAGGATCCGTGCGCACACCTTCTGCAGAGATGACATGTCCCAGGTAAGTCACTTCCTTTCGAAACAATTTGCATTTAGCGGGAGTCAGCTTCAGATTGGCCTCTTTCAGTTTCTGAAGCACCTTTCTAAGATTTTCTAGATGCTCTTCAAAACTCTTTCCGACGATGATGATATCGTCCAGGTATATCAGACAGGCTTCGTAAGAAAGGCCTTTCAAAACAGTCTCCATAAGACGTTCGAATGTTTGCCGGCGCATTACACAGTCCAAACGGCATCACTTTGAACTGCCAAAGTCCTTGTCCCGTAGTAAATGCCGTCTTTTCTCGGTCATCAGGATGGATTTCTACCTGCCAATACCCACTCTTTAAATCAAGTGTTGAGAACCACTTGCTTCCAGAAAGAGTGTCTAGAATGTCATCAATTCTAGGAAGAGGTAACTGTCTTTTTCGTAACCTCATTCAACCGGCGATAGTCAACGCAAAATCTTGTTGAGCCGTCTTTTCTTCTGACGAGAACGATGGGAGATGCCCATGGACTCGCTGAAGGCTCGATGATCGCCTTCTTCCATATCTTTTAACAGTTGTTCGCACCTCTTCCTGTTTAGCAAACGGTAGACGTCTTAGATGTTGCTTGATCAGGGGATGATCGCCAGTATTCTTTCTATGTTGTGTCAAACTAGTTCGACCCACATCAGAAGACGAGCGGGAGAAAACAACTTGAAGATCTTTAATGACGCGATCGGCAGCATTTTCTCTTTATCGTTTAATTGTGCATTCTCAATATCTCCGATGTAATGTTCTCTGAGGACACGGATTCTGGGATGTTACTCTTTTTTTTCACCTGCGGTTACTGGAGTACATGTTTGCAACCACTTCACCTTTCTTAATAACTCTCGACTTTTCAGTTACATTTGGCGACTCTCACCGGGATAAACCGTTCGGGATAGGTTGTGTTATCTAATACTCCTTTTGGGATTTACAGTTATTGGGATATTCTATGATGCCGTTAGCGGAAATTTCTATTTCGGCTATGGATCAGGAAGTTAAATTTCTGTTCTTGCCGCCGGTAAATATAGTTTGTGCTTTTTATGGACAGATTTAATCTCTTCATAATTAACGAGAATAGCTATGTCCTCATATGTAGAATGCAATTCGTTATTTTTAAAATCCCGAAAAATTGTATTTCTTTAGAAAGTCCATCCGAGTATGAAGAATCAGTGATTTCTGCTACATATGCCGTATGTATGGTAAGCGGCACTCCAGTGATGTCGATCGATCTCACCGGACACAGTCTGGAGGGAACGCAGGGCGGGTCCAGATAGTTTTTTCTAGTTGTTGAGCCATCTCTTTTGCGATGATGGGTTGACGTTGGCTATCATAGTATATTGCACGGAACTAATTAATATGTCCTATTATGAAAAGTCATTACTGCCGCCTCTCACTGCAGAAATCTGAAGCGCTTTTTAAAAGGGGGCCTTTTCATTATCTGGCAACCTTCCCGCCCGAGAGATGCCACTATAGTTTCCTTGCGGCTTGTAGAAGAGGTCTTAACATCGTACCCTGGTCGGTTTCTGCACGTTTGTCTATGTGTCATTCAGTCGCAGTTTAAGCGTCACTTAACGGTCGGTTCTTCCACCAATATTCCGTCCAGCTCTGACTTGGTCGAGCGGTGATGACGATCCCTGGCTGGGCTGCCTCAAATTTCATTCATGGCGTACACTAGAGCACTTTGTTTATTTTTACATCCGCCATCATAGAGCTTTCTGTATTCGTATCTCAGATGCCGTCGATAAAGTTGCAAAGGATTGGTTTTCTTCCCTCTGTCTTGTTCGGGCCATTCCGAAAAACGAAGGGACAGCCTTCAAACATTCGCGGCGAGCTCCTGAGTGTTTCTGGTAGGCTTTTGTTGACGAGATTTTAATTGGAGCTCTGTTCTCCCTTCAAAGCGCAACTCAAGGCGCCGACAAAGCTTCGAAATCTAACCTTTTGTTCGGGAAGATTGAAGGATATCCGCTGCGTCGGCTCTCGAGAAACGGCGAGGATGAAGGCCTTAGCTGGGGAATCCATCCATCGCATCGCCACGATAAGAAATGTGTTTTATACACTGCCAGGCCCATATATGTGGAAGCTCAGAGGTGGACAGCATTTGGTAAGAATTTAAAATCATCACTCCTGCTCCCCTGCCGACGCTACGAATTTCTTTCAGGTATCATTTCTTTGGCCCTGCAGAAACTCTCTCATCATTTGTTCTTTACAGAAGAAATCTTTCTTCTATTTTTATTTAACCAAGAAAATCTTTCTTCAATATGTCCAACTTATTTTCAACTGCGTCAATTCTGCCTTCCATAGCTCAAATTTTATTTTCATTATGCAAGTAATTTCTCTATTTTTCTTTCTTGACAGGTTGAACGGCTTTCATTTCGTCCTTAACGGATCCTGGCCCAATTTCATTTTCCTTAACGGTTCTGGCCCAATTTCCTAAATGATGCCTTGGCCAGCTTCCATCTTTCTTGGAATGCAGCAAAAGCACTATGAGTGTCTCAATTGTTCTTCCATCGCCTTTTTATGGCATTCAAATCCCACTTCTGACACCAAAATTGTGTTCGGGCGTCGGGTTCGTTATGAAATGAATGCACAGTCCTGAAAAATGAACCTTTATTATTATCACACAACAATGCTTAAATTTCTCAAATATATGCAGTATTACAATATCTCACAGTAGTTTCTTTTAACTACTCATGTCAATAGAACGAATTCAAAACTAGAATTAACGCGAATCCGCAAATCCAAAACATATTTTGAAAACAACAACAAACTAAGCAACTACTACAAACTGAGTGTTTCCTCCTTATAGATTTTAAATCTCGCGCTAGCAATTTTTCTCGGGAATCAAAAAGAGATATTTATTTATTTATGCACGCGCTTGTATTTTCCTTTTCCGGCTTAGCTTTTTTTTTAATATTCGTCACCGCTGCACTCGCGAGAGGACAAATTTAATTTAGAAAACCATAGCTTTTAAATACAAATTCAACAATAAATATATATAATATATATAATATATATATATATATAATAATTAATAATAATTAAATTATAACAATGCAACAAAATTTAATTTAGAATTAAGACTAAAATTATGCAAACCTTAAACATAATTGAAAACTGCTGCACATTTGAATTAATTGGTGGTTTGAACAAAAAAGGTAAAAGTTAAGATCACAAAAGTTGATGCATTAGTTGATTAATTTCAGATTAATATGTTGTTCGGGGGTTAGGTATTCTGACATCTCTTTTCCATATTCCGTTGTTTTGTCTTCCTTAATTAATCAGAAGTAACTATTTTTCATTAAATTACTTCTGAAAATAAAGGTTTCCACCCATATATATTTAAGATACTTAACGTACTTAAAAATAGAAAGACTTAAAAATTAGATTAATAAAAAAAAATCAAGGATTCCACCTCTACATATTTAGGATACCTAATGTATAAAATACTTGCTTTTTAGTTTCATTTAAAAGTCTTTATGTGTTTTTGTTCATACTAATTAATTTAAAAGAAGAGTGTACATTAATAATATATAAAGAATGTAGGGCATATGTATGTGTATAAAAATAAATAGTTTATAAATGTTACATAAGTTTATACATTCTTGAATTCATTTTATGTTAAATAAAAGAACAGTTCATAAAAATATTACCACAGATATCATAAATATAATATGTCCCTAATTTATGTCAGAAATGGCTTATGATGGGAGTCTCTAAAACAGTATTCGTTGGTAAGCGATGACTAAGTGTCTTTGCATACAGTATAACCTAAACTGGAATTTTATATATTAATTAATTACATTAACATCATTTATTTGAGTTTAATATCTCTGAATAATAAACTATATTGGTGTTGTAAACATCATAATTATATGCATTAATGCTATAAATATTCATAATTATTACTCCCGATTATAAAATATTACAAAATATTTTAAATTCAGTGAATATTTTTAATAATATAGTTATAAAAAATCAAATGACTCTATGAAAATATATAATAACAGTGTAAAAAAGAAAACTTTATTAATAATAATAATGCTGAAATGTTCATAAAAATATGTGTTCTAAATTATTTCAATTATGTAAATATTATCAAGAAGTGTACTTATGGCACTTTAAACTGCCAAGTTTTAGCAGATTGATTAAATTTGAAAGATAAAGATTGTATCCTCTTTTGAAATATGACATTTTAAGCAGTGAGTATATACAAAGTCTCCTATGTTTCCTGCAATGGCAAATACTTGCTAAAAAGCTAGGATGATAAACGCATTCTATCATAACACAATATAAGGATGATAAATGCATACTGTAACACAATATGAGGGAAGTGCAAAATCTATAAGAAAGATTTCACAGATATTTCCAATGTCAATAATTACTTTTAAGTGTAGTGGCATTTAATAAATGCAATTATGTTAATCTTTCTCCCACTTCCTATTCATTTTAATACGAGTCAAAATAAGACTCACTCAAATTAAATGTGACAAACTGCCATTTATCCACAAATAAAAAAAAATTTATAATTACTAATACTACAACAACCAATTAAAGATTTATTTCAAAATATAATACCTATTACAACAATACAGGCATTCTAAATCACTTTTCAATAAAACAGCACATAAGACAGCATAAATGAAATAAAACTTTTTTATTACTTTTCTGCAGAAAACCTGCAATTTGGTATCATAATTCTGTTTAGCTGCTTAAAGCCATAAATTATATTTTGAAACATAATTTTTATTTAAAAGTTATAAAAGTAAAATATGCATCCAGTGGACTCGAAATAAAAGCAGCTTAATTAAAAGCTGTAACCATAATGTTAAAGATTTAATTTTTAATTCCAAGCTATCATTAGAAATTATAGTATTATTTCCATTTTGAATTCTTTTTAAACAGTAGTATATACATATCAAGTAAAACATAGTACATAACTGTGATTTATTAAATAACCAGGATTTGACATTGGGTATATTCCACTAAGGTTCACATTTTTGTTATTGTAAATTACTGACATTTTTTCTCCCATTAAAGTTTAGATGAAAACAAATGATTTTCTAGCCAGGATAATGGTTCATTGCAGATGGAAATTTTACAGAAGGCTTTTTGTAAAAGAAAATAATACTTACTGATGTATCTGAAGTAGAAATATTTCTTAACAGGGATTTCATGAAGATCCTCCAACCTGGCAACTTTGATGTCTCATCTTTCTTTTCCTCTGGAACTCATTTCTTTAAGTACTATTCATAAATTTACCCTTAACATATCCAGAGGTCACACAAGGCCGTGTCTCTTCTTCTTTAATCTTGGTTATCTGAAGTATACTTTTTTGTGCTCTCTGTCCTTGATTTTTTAAGTATTTCATATGTTAATTTAAAAGTTCAAGAAAAAAATTTAAAAGAACAATTCATATCTTTTCATATTTTTGCAAAGTAAAATAATTATTAATTTTCGTTTTTAGCCTCCACAAGACATGAATATTCAATGTAATTTAGAAAATATCTCAACTGTTTTCTCGCTCGTTCCTCCCTCTTAATCAAATACTCTATAATATATTCATCAATTGTGCAAAATATTACATTAATGTTCTAAATGAATATTTTTGTTATGCCTATGGGCTTAACGACAAGATTAACGGATGACTGCAATTATGCGTTAATATCAAAAACTATATACCCATTCTTCCATAGCATGAGGATTCTTTGTGTATAATTACTATTGTATCTATTGATTTACATATTTGTTTATGCAACGCATCGCCACATTGAAAGTTTTTAAAAGCTATTTTACCGCAAAATAAACATTTTTTTGCCAGACATCGTCAATCTTATATATGTTCTTCATTATTCTAGTTTCTTATTCAGAACTTTATGTGTTAATTTTTGTTGATAACAGTTCTTATTATAAACTACCTCTCAGATTGTTTAATTAGGAACTTCTTACTAAAATCTTCCGTTCTGTTTTAAAATAAAAAATAGTTTACCTTTTTGAAATCCTGGCTATATGCTCTCTTCACTATGACCAACACAGTAATATCACTTTAGTACCGTATTATCACGTCCAAGAATCCCTAATTTAACTTGATAGAACAAATAATGCCACAATTATACATTTGTCTAATACATTTACCAGCTTCTCAAGTTAGCCACTCTTTCTTTAAACTCTCTATGATGTAGCAACGACTGGCATCTTCAATTTACTTCTGTAAAAAAAACAAAAAAAAAAACAAATATATTTTATAATCTTTTTCCATCTTCCCTATTATATTTACTCATGAGTCTGGCTTGGGATTAATCTCAGCTAACACCAACATTTTAAAACATACACCTGAATTGTTATTTTACTCACATTAAATCGTAAAGGTACTTTTATTTTGGAGATTATTTAATTTAGATAATCGCTTGGATTCTAGAGCTAAGAATTTTCTGCACGGACATTTACAGGCGAAAATATTACTGTTTTCAGGGTCCAAATACATGTGCATACCTTGCTAAGTAAAGAATATAAAAGAAGTAACTGACCTATTGGCGGCAATCGAGAAAGATTGTTTTCCATTTTGGAATTGAGATTTCGTTCATATGTAAGTATATTTTTTAAAATGTCAAGTCTTATAGTTATTCTAAAGGAAAAAACTATCATTGTACCAATTATAAATCAAAATTTTAAAAATACTACTACTTAAACCGGGGCCCATTGCCATCAATTGCTGTAACAATATTTCCTGTTCGGCTGTATCATTTGCCAAAAGATTATGTTTAGATTTTTCCAAGATGTTTCTCTGATGTTTAAGAGACGCTTTTCATACCTTATATGATACATATAATAAAAAATGTACTATTAACGATTATTGACATAATAGCTCCTGAGCATAGTTCAATAGCAAAAATAGACTCACAAGCAAACTTTTTCTTTTCTTTAAAGGAGGTTCATCACTTTCATTCTTTTCAGCAATATCTTTATTTTCTGAGATATCTGATAAATCATCTTCTTCAACACAACTATTTATTTCACTTTTTTCTTGATGGCCTGCTGAATTAATTGAATTGTAGCAGTGCACCCATACTACACGCTGGCAATTAGTACAAGCAATGTATTCTTTTTTTGCATTTTTACTAAAAGAATAAATGAAAAACAGTTTTTTAATAGAGCTTTCCATTTATACCTGAAAGCATTAATAATATACCAGATTGAATCAATTTTTAAATAAGTTAAAAATAATGATAAAACAGCATAAAAATTAAAAACTTCTCATGTACTTCAAAAAACAAGCATAATCAATACAAATTGAATAGCAATAATTCTGTTTATTAATTAAATTGTTACAGTATGTATAATAACTACTATTATTGGGGGAAAATAAATTAGTTTCATTGAAAATAGGCATAAATATAATATATATATTAAAGGAACTTTGCCCTTGTATCTGACAGTGGTGCTTTCTTTATGATTTTAATTAAAAAGTATCTGATGAATATAAGTAACTATAATACTGATATTTCTAAGTAACAGTGAAATTACTATTCAAATGACAGATATTTACTAATAATCTTATTGTCATTCAGAAGTAAGAAAATATTTCTGTTGCATTAATAAATAATATAATTTGAAAGATACATTAAAGATATCATGCAAATAGCAATATTTCATTGCCTTCCAATGTAATCATTTAGACTTTTTTTTCAACCCATTACAACAGAAACTAAGCTGACAAATTTAAGCTTATTAAATTTGATTAATCTGAATTTTGAAGGTAATGCAAAAATATTCAAATTATCCAGTTTCATTGAAAACTGATTATTTTGTGTAACACTTACCTCTCTTATCACATTGTCATATCACATCTGATGAATTAGTCTTTCTCTGCATAAAAAGAAACAATGGGGAAAAAAAGGACAATTATCTCATTGAAAAAATTTGTAATTTGCATATGCTTCTTTTTGTTTAGCTTTTCATAGCATACAAATTCTCTAAGTTAATTTAAAGACTGAAAAACGTTATATTTAGCATTAAGTTTCAACAAATTGTCTTATTTTTCCTAAAATGTCCACAGCATCTGCTGAAGATGATACAGCACTTTTGTTACATCATTCGTTTTGATTTTCTCTTTTTAAATACAAATGATTCAGTACCTTTATATTATTTACCAATAATTTCAGTATCATTTATATCATTTACCAGTAATTTCAGTATCATTTAGCTGCCCTTAAACAGGAATTTTGTTATTAATTCTTAAACAGGATTTATAACTGCTGTCAGCAACTATATTATCCCATTGCTCTGGAATCAGTATACATGCAGGTTCTTCTCAATTAATTAGATTCCCTTTCTTGGTTGTTTTTGCTTAAAAACAGTTTATCTGTGAGGTAATTTTTTATATTTATCAACCTGCTGTAGAAAACCAGTTGATAACTGTTTATAGTGTAATTTCTTTAAAAGTTTTGCTTATCATATTCATGTATATCAAGAAGATAAATTTGTGTTTCCTTATTTGGATTAATGTAATCCAAGATTTTCAAAACTACTAATCAGCAACAGAAATGTTTAAAATTCTGAATGACATCTTGATCGAAATTTTCTAGGGAAATTATCACTAGAAGGAAAAATTGTTCATTCAAGCTTCAATAATATATATAATGGCCAGTACAGTTATCAATTAGCCAAATAGCTCTCCTTTGAATTGCGTAGGAATTTTTATCGAATCCTAAAATTTTTACCGAATTTTTGAACATTTGTAAAACAATTCACTAACTCTTTTTGGTGGATTTACATTGTATGTGTAAACTAGTTCACACATCTTAAACATGTTAGGCACACACATTTTTATAATCACTTGCATTGATAATTTCTCAGAATCATCCATATTTGCATTCATTACTAAATCTACATTTTCTGTGTTGCTTCTGCCATCACTGCATCATTAACTTTAAATGCGAACAAAATACCTGTTCACATTGAATATATTTTTCAGTTAATGAGCTGCAATAAGTTCAAATGCATAACTCAGCTATTCATTTGCCTTTTCTGCATTTATTCATGCACTTTCTCTGTATTAAATTATAACTAGTTTGATAACAATAAACTTATTATCAGCTTGCTTTAAAATTAAATTTGCAATTTTTTGGCCCGCCCTTCAGTTTTGTCATATATCACTGAGCAGAAGGAAAACGTATTATGGAATGCCTTTGTCAACTTCAGAATATTCAGTCCCTCTCATTCATCTTTAGTTAGCTTATTTGTTACAGCAGTCCATTATTAATTTTATTCTTCAGAAAAGTTGATAAATTGCTAGGAATGCCATATTACCGAGCAATCTCTCTCTATTTTGAATTTTCATTTTACTTCCTTAATTACTTTTACCTCTACACTATGATCAACATAGGACAGCACCCTTAACACTTTTATTATACTGCCTTCTATGACTGCATCTAATGAAAAACTGGCACCAAGAACAGCATGAAATTAAAGAAGCTGGAAGAATCTTCTACAACTATAGCAATAGCCTCTATAACAAAGGGGTATTCTACAGAAAATCATAAACAGACTGTTAAATCCAAAACTGGACAATCACACTAAAAATAATGAGCATAGTCTAATAAAGGAAAGTTATTTTAAAAGAAAATTACATGTTCTATGATCAAATGTTTTCATATAATAACTGAAATATATGGTTAAATTATTCTACTGTCAAAAGTCGTTAATCCAGACTCGTCGGGACTTCGGCGATTCCGGATTATCGATTATTCCGGATTATAGATCATCAGTTTAAATCTCGTAAGATGGCATGCAGAAATTATAAAATTAAAAGTATGAAACCGTAATTATGAAATAAAGAACAATTATGATCTAAAGGGCATCAAAATTTGCAAAAAGAAAAAGTTAATATTTATTTGTTTACTTTATTAAACATTTTTCAATGTATTGTTTAAGTTTTGCTTCTTTCATGGATAATACTTTCTCTTTAATTCCATTAAACAGACATAATTTCTTGTTCAGTTACAAAGTTCTGCAGTTCAATCCTATAATTGCTGTGTAGAAATACGACTAATTTGTCAATCGAAATTTTTCGTTTTCAATAACCTCTGTCACTTTCTTCGCTATCGGAAGCGAATTATAATGACGAGGAACTTTTTTAAATCATATCAAAGACGGAGCACATTGAGATGAAATACTACATTTCATAAGGAATTATAAGCCAAATAAATAAAAACATCTGCCCTGAAGATAAGGATAGTGCTGACCAGATCAACTTCCATTCATCCCCCCGCCGAGCAGCGTGAAATGATAAACAGATTTTCGGATTTCAAAAACATACTTTCGCTTTAGATCCTTTACATATTAACAAATATATATCGGAAATTCATTGATTAATTGAAAGTTTAAACTTACTTTTATAAATTGCTCTTACAGTCTGCAAAAATAATAATCCGGATCCAATTCGAAAAATTAAACAACGCAATATCAACATTAACTGAATAGATAATTATTTAGCTTATTCGTCCATTATACATAAAACGCGCACGCAAAACGTATTCTGCACTTGCGCACACCATATGCGCGCGTAAAAGGTCTTACGCCACGGTAAACGCCTATGCACATGTGTCAACGCGGCGCATGCGCAGAAAGTTTTTTATTTTGAGGTCCGGATTATAGATCATTCCGAATTATGGGTGTCCGAATTAACGACTTTTGACTGTATAAACTCAATGGTAAAAAAGGTCATGCTTCCAAAATAAAGGTTAAAAAAAAAAAAAAAAACCCTAAGCAATAATAGATGATTCCCTTTGGCATTTAACACACGACTTGAACAGGCCCATAGCCTTACATGTCATTTGTGTTAGTCCAAGAAATGCAAGTATTTGCCATTTAACAACTGTTGTTTGTTATTGCTCTTTTTCTTTTCCCAATCTTTTTTGCAGTATTACATATCAGTAATAAATAGGACAAGACAAGTGTCACTAAAAATGAAGCAAAAATTCCACATAAACAGAGATATTTTGCAATGGATGGACGTTGACATTTTTCAAAATATGAGAAGCATTTCAATTCAAATTATTCAAAGATTTTTTCATTCAAATTAAAAAAGTACTTTTAATATTACAATAAACAGAAAAGTCAAATTTGAATTGATTTTTTTTTTTTTTGACAGAAAATTTGTCAAATTTAAAATAATCCAAATTTTTAACTAAGGAGGCTCAAATTACTCATAGTATATAAAATTATATATAAATTAGTCATAGTATATAGAATAGATATTTATAATAGCAATAAAAACTGCTATTCAAATGACAGATCACTTTATTATCAATATTGTTGCCATTCAGAAATAAGAAAAAATTTCTGTTGCACCAAGACGCGCCCATGATGGTCTTGGTGCTTTCTGTTGCACCAAGGGCATACAGTGATTTCAGGAAAATATTACATTGTCATCCCCATTTATAATACTAACACATTTCAAAACAAATATTTTATCAAATTATAGTAAGCATAAAGAAATATAAGACTCATGTACAGTCAAAAAATATTTAAATATTGGATAAAAAGACATACATATACATTTTGACAACCTTAAAATAAAAGTTTATATGACTTATATTAAGTGCAACAAATTATAAAAATTAATAAAAATGATTAATACTTATATGAAACCTATGCATTTAAAAGCAAAACATTACATTTACACAAATACATAACAAAACTATTCATTAGAACAAAAATCACTTTTTTTTTTCCAGAGAAAATTTGACATTTAACTTTTCCACATCCACTTTTTCAAATATACGATTTTTAGCATACTACTAGTTTACTCAATATATTCTAATTTGATGTTGCTATGAAGTGATTTTTAATTAACTTAAAATCTATTCTCTCTCTGTTAATAAAGCTTAAAGACAGTATTGTAGACAATGGGTTTGAAGGAAGTTTCTTCACGTTGTTTTTGACTTTTAGTTTATAAATTTCACATCCAAGAAAAATTAAAAGTATATTTCATACTAATTAACCCATTTTCTTGTGATCTAAATATTTATCGTCACATGTTTTTTTAGTTAGTTCTTACCAGAATATAAATAAATTAAGAGTATTTTTAAGTTGGAGTTTTTGGAAGTTTTAGACAAGAGAGCTTTTGGCAGTGACATTTACTGTAGTGCAAATATAAATACTATTATACAACAAATATGTAAAATACATAGTATTATCCTGCCCAGCTCTACAAAAATAGTTACCTAGCATTAGCCATTTTACTAGTCTAACTAAATCATGCATTTAATAAATGAGCCAATGATTGGTTCGGCTATCTGAATTGTAGTCTCCAGAATTCAATTAATTTAAAGTTCAACTTTAAATTAACTGTTACTGATATCATGCAAGCAGCAGATTTTCAAATGTTAACACAAGTCATGCATTTGTTAAGTTTAAAGCTTTAAAAAGAGTTTGTTTAAACTTTCTCAGGATTGAATTGTTATTTCATAGATGAGGCAATAACTTACATTTGTCTTAATAGGGTTGAATAACTTTGGTTAATTTCAAATAACAAGCCTAAATTTTCAGAAATTAAGGAAAAATCACAAAAATAGTGATAACTCATTCAAAAATAAGCCAGACCGTATAAAATGTGAATATCTGGTAACATACGAGTTGCTGAGTGAAACTGCAAATTAGTGGTGCTACAAGCGGAATACATAATCTGCGAGGAGCTTTAAAGTGTATGTTTGGAAGCAAGCCTACAAATTTTCCTCTGGTACCGAGATACAAAACGTGGCATAAGCAATTTGTAATAATGACCTCCAAGAATTATTTGCCCAAAGAACTGCGATGGAGAGTTTTTGGAAGACTAGAGGCAGGGCAAAGTCAGACAGACTTAACAAGATGCTAAATGTGAATCCTTTTGTGGTTCATAGACTTGTGCAAGAATTTCTAACCAGATTCAGCATCAAGAAGGTTCAACCAAGAATGGCCAACCAGTACCAGAGCACCAATAACCAATATTTGCTATTATGAGCACAAAGGAATAGCACTCAGACTTGTTTCAGATCCTCCTTTGTTGCAGCTACCACAAGGCTGGTGTCGTCAACCATGCATCTGAAGGAGTTCTGTACATGAGGCGACCAGCCATTTGCATGCTGCTCACGTCACATCATAGAAGGGAACATTTGAGATAGACATGTTAATATGTCCACTGGACAGCTGATCAGTGGAAGGTTGTTCTCTTTACAGATGAGCTTAGGTTTAGCCTTCAAAGCGAGAGTAAGCATTATTTGATTTTGTTAGAGCCTGGAACTCATTATCAACCATCAACACCCTTGAAAGAGGTGCTAACAGAGGAAGCGGTGTCTGTATTTGGGGTGGTAGTTCTTTGAGTGGATGCACAGACCTCCATATCTTTCCACATGGAACCGTGAATGCTGAAGCCTATAGATATGATATCCTTGATGCTTATGTGCATCTTTATGCAGGGGCAATAGGTGATGATTTCCTGCTACAGGACGACAAAGACAGACCACACAGGGCTTGCATTGTGGATGATTGTCTTCAGCAGCAAGGAATTCAGCACAAAGAATGGCCATGCTTTAGGAATCAATTACTGAAAAGGTGTCAGTTACTGCTCTAGGAATCAGAACTGAAAGTTGAACTTTAAATTAACTCAATCGCCGTGCTCTAGGAAGATGTATAGCTACTCTGAATCCTATGCTTCGGACCCTTGCCACGCTTGCAATTCTTTGCAACAGCAATGGCTCCCACGTCATACAGGACTCATAGACCACATAACTGACAGTATCACACATTGCTGTATGTGCTGCACTACTTCTAGGGGAGATTATATTCCATATTGAAGTTAATTTTCCTAAATCAAACTATAATGTCTGAATTGTTCATTTTATACTAATTCTATAACACAATTACTGGTTAATTTCTTTACATGGTATTTTTACTTTACTATGTTTTGTGTACTGTGGGTCAGTTTCATTTAATTCTACATGTAACTTTCTGAGTAATCGTCATTTTTATGATTTTTCCTTAATTAATGATAACCAGTGTATTTGGTTACAATGTATGATTATTAAGCTACAAAATACAATATTAATTCAATTACACTTTAAAATTAGTTGTGTGATACACTGATTTGATAGAATGATATTTCTTCTGTTGGTTGTACATATATTTCTAAAAGTGCAGTTACTTTTTCTCTGTATAAAGTAATCAGATATTCCTTATGCTCTAGCAGGTGTTTAATTTGGAATCCCACAAAACATACAGGCTCTCTTAAAACATAAAATCCAAAGCATTAAAATGATTTATTAACAGTTTATGGAAATCACTGCTCTTTTACAGACAAATATACACAAACAGACATAAGATCAATAATAAGATCTGCAAACATTAGGCTTTCATCTAACCGACTTTCATTTTACAGAGAAATCAGTTTTTCATAAATAAAGATTGCTACTTACCTTCATCATAATGAGCAAAATCAGAGAATTTTACAAATACATACATTACAGTAATGATTAATGCAATATAAACTATGAAAATCATATTTTTAAAATTTGACATTAAAGAGCTCATATAATTAGAATTATTTTAATTAATATACTTAATTTAATTAATACTTATTTTAATTATTACTTGAGAAATCAAAAGCCTTCCTTTTCTTAGATAGCTAGACAAACTGACCGAATAACAACAAAGAACAATAATAAGAAATACAAACTTGACCTAATAACAATGGCTTTTTCCCCCGCAAAATATATTTATTTTATAACATAAAAAATATTTTCAAGATACACAATTAACTTGGTTCATAATATATTAAAAAAAAGCAATAAAATCAATAACTGAGTAAGAAAGACATAGATTTAGCATACTTCCATACTTACAAAAATACACATATTACATGCACTATATTTTTAAATAATTATTCACATAAAATGAATTTTAACACTATTACATTATCTGCCTAACCTAGATAAGAATTACTGGGCAACCCAGAATTTTATGAAAATGTATTTATCCGACAAACCCATCAAGGGCTGCACACACACATGGCAGGGTGTAATGCCAACATTTATCTTGGTGGTGATAGTTGTAGTGATTTGCATGGTTTTGAAATTCAATGGTCATGTTTGAGATTTCTAATTAATGCATGGAATTTTTCATTTTCTAGTAATGACTTGTAACACCACTGTGTGCTTGCTGATAAAAAAGAAAATGTCGCATTTTTTCAGAAATATGTTATTTTGCTTACAAGTAGAGAATGTAGGAATGCATAATTCCATGAAGTTAATTTGTACAGTTCTCTAACTTTCAGCTGAAACAAGTCGAAGTAAATATGGAAAGCAATGCCAGTTTGCTCTGCAATGACAAGAATTCTGCAATTCTCTGATGTTAAGTTAAAATAGATTGCTGGGCATATGGACAGAAAACCAAGAAAATGGGAAGTGCTTTATTATGGATGTTTATAGCATTTTTTAATTTTGTTAATTTGTTTCTAATTTTATGTAATTTGTTTCTAATTTTATGTAATTTTCAGTCGGCACTTTTTTTTATGTGGCTACTTTTTTTTACATGTTAGGTTGGTGTAAAATAATCACCAACAATTCACAACTTTGCAAGAGGGTTGGACAATTAATGCTAGAGTACCCAAATTTCATTATTTAGTTTGTTTACACATAGTTACTCTTTTTATAATTGAGTAATAATGACATTTGCTAACATGAATTTAAGCTGATAAAAATACATTAAAAATATACAGCCCAGTTCATCATTTTCATAGGATATTGAAACCTGTCCATAACACAGTTCAAATAGTTGTTATTCCATTAAAGGCAGAAAAGCATTTCAAAGCTAGCTAGCTAGGAAGACGAATGCTTTTGCTGAAGATTTCCTATACGAAAATTACAATATATTTTACAGCAATAGAGAAAGAAAACTGCAAAAACTTCATACACCCAACCTACAAAAATCAAACCAGATAACCCTGTAAACGGTACCTCTTTTCCATAGTTCTCTAGTACTAGTGTTCCAGCATGTTTAGAGTTTTAAATCATATATAAAAAAATTAACAAAATCTTATTTATACTGAAGATCCAAATTCATACCTACTTTTTATTCATCAGTCTAATATTCTCAATTTATAATATACAGGATAAGTAATTTAAAACCAGTCCACTCAAGTTTAAATGAAAGTGGTGCCGGTTTTAAGTTACTGAACCTACATATAATGGATTACCACTCCAACTGCGATCAAATTGGCTTAAATGAATAAGTTATAATGAAACAATACAAAATCATCAACACAAAATATCTTTATTTAATATTACAGCAAATCACATTCAATTACTAAATCAATAAGGCCATATAGTGACAAGATTGGACATACATCTAGCTTAAAAAATGATAGGCTTGAAGTCTACTTTCTCTGTCTTCAATGAAATTTATCTAAAGTTCTGTAGCTTTATTAGAAAATGTCATTTAATATAACAGCAATTTTAAAAGCAATCTGAAATTAATTTTTGAACAGTTACTTCTAGTTAAAACAACCTCAGTGCAAACAAAAAAGAAGAAAACTAAATATAATAGGGAAAAAAATGGTTTTATTAAAACATTATAAAAATCCATACTTTTCAGATGTCACTGACCATCCAGTAGCAGCCAAGCAGACAAGAGACTTGCCTATTCTATTAATATCATCAGCATTTATTTCAGCTATTTTACATAAAGATGACATGGATATATCATCAAGGCCCTGTAAAAGAGGAACAGTTTGATAGTACATAACAAACACACTTTTTATTTCCAAAATTTTATGTATACCTAAAGTTTAAAAAATGGAAGGCTTATATATTTAATAATGTTATATTATCATTACAGAGAACAAAAAAAAAATTTTTTTTAAATAAATCCTACTTTTCAGTTACTTCCAATTTTATTTTAGCTATTTTTTTAATGATACTTCTGACTGTTGCAATGAATAGCTTCACCAGCAATCAGTAAATACTATTGAACTTCCTATTGTGTATCTGTAATCACTTGCAATAAAATATTTTAATTACAATTAAGAAACTTTAAGTAGCATCCCTCAGATTCCACAAAAATCCACTGCTCCTGTCATGATGTCACAATCTCCAAGCATGCTTCTTTTTCTCAGAAAATAAGCTTTCACTAACTTCTACAGTTTCATTTTCTCCACTTATCTCGAGATAGTCTTTCTTATTCAATATAACACCTAATATACCTCAACCTGGAGACCGACAGACCACATATGGCCACTGAAGCAATTTTATGTAGTCCACAAATAAGTTTCCATTATGTATTTGTTGCAAATACAGTGCTGCAGAGATTTCAAAATTTTAATTACTTGAAGATCGAATTTACATTATTTTCACTACCATTAAAAACTAACATGGCTAGTGCACCAAAAAAAATCGATAAACTGGGCTAATTAATTTACAGTGTGATATAAATCTTATTCAAGGATTTGAAAATATAGATTTGATTAACTTTTATTCATGTTTGCCATACAGTAAGCATGCTAATTTACAAGCACTAAAAACAACTGCTTTGTTTGGAAATACATTTATACATGAATGGCTTTTCTTCTTACTGTTGGAAATTAATAAGAAAAGAGCCCAATAGACTGAAGAACATCTACCATCTGTGATGAAGATAATATCTAGTAATTTTTCCCAGTACCCAGACATTATACAAATTTGCATTTACATATAAAATTTATAATTATTTACCCACAAATATATGTATTTTAATTTATTTGTTGAAGAAAAATTCAATAAATAGGAGAAAGAGAGTAGTTTGTCATTATTTTAAAGTTTTGCTCCACGTGGAATGTTTTTTCTGAAAACTTTGGAAGTTTCCATAATGTGTAATTTAAACTAAAGCTATTTAATGATTAATTAAACACAATGTTTAAAATAAATGTCACTATGAATGTTAATATTTAGCTAATATTAACATTCTATTAATTCAATATATGTCTGAATTACAAAGTGTAACCAAAAAAATGTCTTGCAGGTACCAAACTTTACATTTCAGATGGAAAAATAAACATAAATTTGAATTTCTTTACCCTTCATGTTATTATTCTTGTTTTCAGATATATTTTGATAAACAACATTTAGTAAGCAAGATTTAAATTTTAATTAGAAATTTTAATTTTTATTTTGTTGACAAAAATAAATTTTGTTAAAAAAATTATAACCGTCAGAGTTTTCAGATTGTGTATTCGCCACTGCAATAGTCTAAAAAACAATGCCCTCCAGATCTTTATACTAATCTACTACTATTTCTAATGACCAAGTTTTTTGCAGTATTAGATACCCATAATTTCAAAACCTCAACTGTTGTGAACCATAATACTGCCATATAGGATAATTTTCTATCCTTAAACCAATTCATAAAGATCAGATTTCTAATGCAGTCCCTTATATTGCACTATCATGTATTTTCCTCGCCTGAATCCAACTACATTATGCAATGATTTGGGCAGATTTATGCGTTAGAAAGCATACTAAACTTCTGAAAAACAGCTATCATTTTCTGGATCTATCAACAACAAAGTCTTTACAGAACTAAATGTATAGGGTGTTTAAAATGCTTCTTTTGTTATACAGAAAAAAAATTAAGAAAATTTGACTGGAAATAACTGAAAAGAACAAAGAAAATGACAAAAAAAGTATCTGTTTTATAAAATGCAGTTGGATCTAATATATTACAATATTATATGCAATTAAAATTATTATAGCAAAGCCTATGATGGCTATTATTTCAAGGCAAGAACACCATTAAAAATAATACTCTGTAGTAAACTAGGTCTGTTTTTTTACATAATGCAGACAAAAAAATCTAAAACCCTTCAAATTGCCAGTCCATTCATATATCACAAATCAAAATTAGGATATACTACCAGTGTTTCATGTTTGCAAATATGTAGTCAACTGTGGATAAATATCTCATATGAACTGTCTTATAAAAGTCATGAAGTATGCAATTAAATATATTTATAATAAATCCAAGTTTAATGAAGGGTTGAAACTACTGTAAAACTTCAAAAAAAATCATGTTATGAAATGATTAATCTGAATACTTCTTGAAAAATAGATAAATAAAGAAATGAAAATAATTAACTTTTAACCATACTAATGCACTTCCCCCCCCCCCGAATCTCAGTTATACAATAAATTGTTGTAAATAAAATTATCTATTCTTTTCATAAAATCAAATAATAAAAGCTTGGAAAAAGCAATCAGATCATGATCTTTTTATATTCATTGAAATATGAATACTGAAAAATATTTTAAAATACAACAAATCATCTATTTATGACTGGCATACTATCATCTCTGTTATAATGGAATTCACTTCAACAGCCTTATTTATAAGCATAGAATAAATTGCATAACATTGATTAAAGCATACATTAAGTGTCATTTAATGCATTATAACTATTCTAATGAAAATATTTAATATGGGTTTGAGAGAAAATAAAGTGTGCCTACACAAAATTAGATCTCAACATCTCTTAAGAGGCGAAAGCTCATAACACTGATATTTTCTGTGGGAACATTCTGCATGCATAATGAATAGAATTTTGGCTAAAATTCATGCAAAAGCTGTAAATAAGCATTGGTGATATGACATCAACAATGTACAATTACATGTTATCTCTGTCATATGTACATTTACCTATTATCACATGACATCTTGCTTGCAATGCTCAGATTTATACAGAGTGTATCAGTATAGTGATGATAAACTTTCAGGAGAGATAGAATAAAAATGAAGAATGGTAAATCACACTAGAGAATGGTAAATCACACAGCAATGCATGGACAGGAATGCATTCCTGGTGTTGTAGCGATGACACAAAAATCAAGAAAGAAAGGACACAAATGGGGTGAGAAAACATGTTCAGTATAGCAACAATGCTGAGAAGTCTTTGGATGGCATATGCAAAGATGTCGCTATGTAAACCAAAGTATCAGATGATGGTGCATGCACACACGCGGCTGTTGCTGACGTGCTTGCAGTGCAGCTTCATTTTGGCCGCCAACAGATAGGTAGTAGAATAGAATGCTACATGACCGCTGAGCTTGCTGATATGCATCTGGCATATAGGATCGCTGATTGCACTGGATGAGACGCACAGTGGGTATGCCCAACATTACCCCAGGAGGCAAACTCAAACTCATGCCTTATTTGCACATTTGCACCAGAGATTGTCCAAAAGCAGATCCTTTTTCATCACGGACACACAACAACATGAGTGAAAAGTAAAGACACCAAGCAACAAGGAGACAATGCTGAATCTCGTACCAGTACACGAGCTATCACTCGTCAGGTCGGGATTTCCCATATGACTGTCTAGCAGATTCTGCATACTAACGACATGCACCCCTATTACATCCAGCACATGCAGTTACTGGGCAAAGGCAATTTTGCTCCCTGATTGGCCTTTGTATTCTGGTACACTTAAGATGCGCACAAGAGATCCCTGTTTCTCAGACACCATTTTGTTCAACAATAAGCTGACCTTCACGCGCAAAGGAATGTTCAATTCACATAACATCCAAGTGTGGTTGGAGAAAAATCCACATGCAACAAGAACCCGTGCAGCCCAGGAACGATTTTCCATAAATGTATGGGCCAACATTGTAGGAAACCACCTCGTCGGGGCGCACTTGTTGCCCCAAAGTCCAACGGTTGCAAACTATCTCCCTTCCTTCAGCAGGTATTGCCATAGCTGCTGGATGACACACACTTATCTGCTGCTGTCCATTCTTCCAGGTGGTTTCAGCTTGATGGGGCCCCTGCCTATTACAGTATTGACATGCGTCTCCACCTCAATGCAACGTATGGTAAACAGTGGATCAGTCGGGATGGTCCCTGCATTGCCTCGCTCAATCTTCAGACCTCACTTGCCTTGATTACTTCTTTTTAGGGTACCTCAAGGCACTACTGCACGAAATACAAAACTCCCATTAACAGTGCTGAAGAACTTGTTGCATGCATCATAGCAGCTGCTGAGGATGTTCAGGACAAGGCCGGTATTTTCACTAATGTTTGTTCGTCAAGGAGATGTGAGGCCTGCAATCACAACCTGGGGTTGTAATTTCGAACACCTACTTTGATGACTATTGTCGTCTCTTTATGTTGTTTTTTCTTTCTTTCTTTACTGTACTACTCCCAATAATAAACATCTATTTACGGTTGGCATTTATTTATGATTCACCACATTCGTGTTCTTTCTTTCCTGATTTTTGTGTCATCACTACCACGCCAGTAAAGCATTTCCGACCATGCATTGCTATTCCCATCGTCTAGGTGTACTCTGTCTCACCTGAAAGTTTGTCACCACTGTACTGATACACCCTGTATATATTATATAAATTTATAAATCGGAAGCAATATGTATATATAACTGTATGGGTTTTGCAAGGAATTTTCTGTTTCCTTGTAGCGCACTTTCGAGGTGTAACTGGAAGCAGATTTGGCAAGTAATCAAAAGGTTTGGAGTTCGAATCCCAGCGAGGGCATTTTTGATTCTTCAAGCTTCTCAGCTTTGAAAAATTCTAAAAGACGCTACAAGTGGTGATCAAACTAAAGTGTGGTCGACAATAATCGATTACCACCTGGATGTGGTGATTGAGTCGTCTCCTCCTTAGCTGCCATTTAAGTGGGGTAGAATTAAAAAATTTTTTTCCTTTCTCACTGCATGCCTTCATGGTATAATTGGGAGCACATCCACTAGCAATCAGAAATAGCTGAAGTTTGAATCCCAGTGACAATATTGCTAATTTTTCATGTTTCCCATCTCTAGTAAATACCTCAGCATGATCCAATAATCAATTGGTAAATAATTTCATTCAGGACAACCTTAAAGAAAAAAATCTGAAAAGATTAAAAAGGACCAGGTTTTCCTTGCCCATTTGGAACAACATTCTACTTAATTTGATCCTTTCAAACCACAGGAAAACTCACTTTTGGTGTTTGGAATTTAAAGACCACTTAAATTGCATCTGGCAAGTCATATTAGTATACAGGGACAAAACTGCAGAAACAAGATAATGAAAGCTTAAAATTGGGAGTTACTACTTTAACATTAGGAAGAAAAAAAAAAAAAAAAAAGAAAAAAAAAACATTTTTTACATGCAATAGTTTGGAAAACAGCAATTAATTCTTAATAATCAACCAATGCCTCATTCCTCAGATTCCAGTACCTTCAGATGGGCTGACTGCATGGGAGTTTTCATGTTTTTCCCAGTATACAATGCAAATACAAGCTAGTTTCCTTTAAAACGTTCTGCATGAAGGCATCTCTTCTCATAGGCAGATAGCCCTTGAGTTGGCTTGTCTTAATTGATTAACCTAACTTAACCATGTCAGATTATTTGCTGACAAACATATGCAGATTCAGAATAAACAGAATATTTCAGATAAAATTTTAGCAGTTTGATTTTTAACAATAATTCTGATGACAACTATCTGAATTATTTGATTTGTGAAATACAATGAAATATTTATTAATTACAAAAAAGAAATCTTCCATCACTAAACATCATTGTCTTTTTAAACATTCAGTTTTCTCTTGCATTAAAATTATCCAAAAATCTCCATTAATTAGACCAGTACTATTTGGCACTTATCTGAAATGAAAAATCGATCTGTGCAGTACCTTTTCATTTCATGTAAGTGTCAAATTAAATTACACAGAACAGACAGAATTTGGCCATTATTAAAGTTCAAGTTGAAATGAATTTCTTGCATTACGTACAAATAAAACATTGACATGAATATATAGTGTTATCAATATTAAAATATGCAATATATTGAATGATAATGCAGCTACAAAATAGACTGCATTAATGTCTGCAATGTGTAATAAATATTAAATAAATGTGACACTGAATATTACTGAATGTGAAACTGAATATTTAACCAGATAATTTTCAGTTAATTGTATTAACAAATATACATAGTTTTCACTTAATTTAAATACTGTAGTTAAAAAATTGTCACTTATGTTAAAATAGTACAAAGCATATATCAAATTTACCAATTCTGAAACTGCAGATTCCTTCACCTGAGGAAGAGAATATTCATAATTTAAAGAAGATTTTAAACGCTTAAGGAATTGTTGCAAGGCTTCCTCTTTTGGCATTTGAATTATTTTTAATAAGGTATCTAGAAGAGGAAAAGGCAGCATTTTAATACAGATGCATATGATAAAAACCTGATATGCACATAAAAAGCTAAATTATTGCATCAGAGAACACAGAAATTCAAACTTTAAACAAATTATATAACACAAATCTGGAATGCCATCAATGATATTTTATTCCATTATAATAAACAAATTTATACTTAAATCTTATAGAATTTGTAATTTGGTAAATAAACACACCGGAACATAAGAAAATTAAATTATTATTTGAAAGAAAGAATACAGAATGCAATGCAGTAAGATTTGGCTGAAAAGGATTCCCCAATAATCTCTGGCATAGATTTCCAGAGAATTATTTCTTTAATCCATTTCCCACCTGCTGAAAACTTATTTTTCAGCAACATGTCATGTCATCAACAGATCTCACTGAATGTCACTAAAAAAAAGGTGCTAACATTTTCTCTTTTGGAAAATTAAACAACAATTTAACATTACAAAACCCCAACATTTCTATTGAGCACATTATGTTGCAAATAAAACGTACTATTAATCAAGTATAAAAAAAAAAGAGTAACAGCTCATGTAATTCACCAAAGAATCATTAAATTATGACCACTTACATAATACACTTACAAACCAATAATTTTACATTATTTGCCCAGGATAATGTATTAAAAATAAAAGATAATATTGAGTCCATTTAACCACTTTAAAAAACAAAATGGCCTCATTCAGCTTGAAGAAAAGATCAGTCAGTCAGCTAACTATAGCAAAAAAATAAGTGAATATATTTAGTTAAAAAAAAATACATACTCAGCATTTCAAAAAAGTCTAAATTTGTACACAATGAGATAATGAATTCCTAATTTTCCACCAGAATTATTAGAAAATGATTCAGTGTCTTAAATCATTCCCTAATAATCCTGATGGTGAACTGATGCACTGTGATGTTAAAAACAGTTATCATCAAAAGAGAATACAACTGATGTGAACCACTGTTAGTCTGCAACAAAGTTGACAGCAGCTGACAGCTATTAAGAATCATTCTACTACAATAAAAGTCTCTGGAAATTTCCTTGAAAATATTACCCAAATTATAATCTTTCTCTGTTGATCTATATCCATAGTTAAGTCCATAAATATCTCTGATAAAAACCAATGTATATGCATTCAGACATCTTTATTACGCACTAAGAATCTGGATTTGTTAAACGAGATAACATTTTTCAGTCATCCAGAGTGCAATATCAGTATCCATTTCATGTGCTACTGTCAATGATGTGCAGCTTCCATTCAGATATGACTAGATCTAAGGCTACATAGCAGTAAAATATTTTCCTGTTCATCACAACTGAAACTATATATGATTTGTTCAACTGCAGCCCTATAATCATTATGAACAGTCTTTACTAGTCCCTGATATGAGTGAACAACAGTTGACACATGAATGGATGAAAGTTCTGCCCTTCTTCGCATCATTTTTATATGCATTCTTGACAGTGTTAAGTCAGCAGCCCACAAACTCAGAGCTTCAGAAAAACTAGTTCTCATGTATCATTTTATTGCAATTTGTCCATTATCAAATTCTGAAAAATTAGCACCTTTCTCATTCTGACACTAAACATATTATTAAAAAGCTACCCCCAAAACCCTCCCTTTTAACAAATAAAAAGATACTCGAAAAAATAAATTTAAAAAAAAAAGAACCTAACAGTATTAAAATATTAAAATGTAGCAAGTTCTATCCTATCCTACCTATCCCAGTTAAATATTTCACAATTCTCACATCACTTTTTTCTATGTTAATTGTTTCTGATACATTAGCTACATATTACAACAAAGGCAATAAGTAATCTAAATTTGTAGATTTTGTTTCTTCATTTGCACATAACATGTTCCAGAACAAAATTACTAAATGCTGGAAATGCCTTATTTCCAAAAATAAGTAAACAATTACCATTGCACATATAAAATCAAATATCTAATTTATTAGCAATAGCATGTTAACAATCATGTTATGAAGATACGAAGATCAGCTGCCTGTCTGATGAGGAAAAAGTAAACACACAGAGTCTATGGAAAATGGAAAAAGAAGAAAATGGCCACCCAGACGGTATAGTGGTTAGGGAAGCCTATTGCGATACTGAAGGGCGTGAGTTCAAATCCTGGAGAAGGCACTGATGTTTGTAAATGTATAGTGTTATTCCAGCATGAGAGCACTCTAAATATGCAGCGAGCAGAAGTCTTCTCAAGAGGTTGATGGTAGGGGAAGAGGCGTGGGAGACCCTTGGTCCCGTCACCCTGGGGTGCTCTCCTTCAAAATTGGGGGTAGAACTGAGTGAAGTCGTACTGTCACCTGTATGGTTCTCAAGGCTCTTTCTTGCCAACAACAGGTGCAATCCTGCTTTCCTTGCCATGATGAATTTCATGGGCTTGTTCTCATGTCACTGTCAGACAAGTGAGATAAGTCACAACACAACAAGAGAAGCAAATATCAGCCAACAGAATCCTAAATTGTCATGATTAAAAAATAACATCTGGCATTCTCCTGGGAGTGCTAATTTGATCTAGGTCAGCTGGTGAGGTAACAAACTTCAAATTCAAGATATAAAATTTTCATTCCAAAGCATATTATAAAGACAATAAAGATACACATAAATGTTACAACAACTGCTCACATTAAGCTATGAGCAATAACAAAAATGTCATAACATAGTACAAACTATTGAACACACTCTAAATATATGTAGTATTTCAAATCCATAGCAAAGCATTCTCAAAATATTGCAATATTTAAAAAGCATTTTCAGAATTGAGTTTGTGTAGTAATGCAACTAGATATGAATAAATGTTGGCTTTCAAGTGGTTCCTGAAAAAATAATCCAGAGGATTCAAATCAGGGAACCAGGCATATTTTTCGTTTTGGCCTTGCCATATAATTCATTTGTTTTCATATATACAATGCAAAAATAATCCAATAGTCAGGATAAAATGTGCAGGTCCTTTAACATGCATAAATCATGTGTCAATATAGTACAGGTGAGAGGAACATGTTCCAGAAGCACTTGAGAGTCCCAAAAAAGAATATCTCGCAATATGTTAACTACACACTCTTACATTTTATTTTCATTTATTTATTTATTGGCTTAGAAAGCCTTCTTTTGCACTTAGTGACTTTGTTCTGAAATAACCTATGTATACGATGCTATGTGAATTTGACATATTTAATTGTTCATTTCATAAACATATTGATTTTACTGGATTCAAGTATAATATAATTAATTTTTGATGCATATAAGAGATACAACAACAATTCTATGATATACTGTCTGTTAAATATTTTGCATAATCGCCTGTAGTAACGGCAACCGCCGTCAATAAAAGGAGGTGCTTTCCTTGGTAGCGGCGCAGTTCATTTTCAGTTCGAGCCAGAGTAGACCTGTCCAGGGAAGAAGCCAGGGGATGATAGTTTCCGGTTCCCGTCTTGTTCCAGTTCCCGTCCTGTTCCGGTTCCGTCCTGTTCCGGTTCCCGTCCTGTTCCGGTTCCCGTCTTGTTCCAGTTCCAGTGTTATTCCGGTTCCCGTCTTGTTCCGGTTCCAGTCCTGTTCTGGTCCTGTTCCAGTTCCAGTCCGGCCGTTTAAGTCCAAAACACGTAGGAGCTGAAGTCTGAATCCAGCGAAACTAAAATGGAGATATATGCCGAAAGGGCCAGATGGATTTTGTCCTTTTAAAGAAAGTGTTCTTCACCATGCCGGAATAGCTGACAGTTTAAAGCATTGCCTGGAAATGTTGAATGTTTCTACCTAAGATGTTAAGTTTTTGTTTAAGATGTTAAGTTTTTCATCATTTTTGAAGTTCTAGTTAAATAAACCTTTAAGTTTTAGACAAGGTTTTGTGTTCTTCAGAAATTTTAGGTTCGAAGTCAGATATATCACATAATAGAATTTAACAGGAAAAATCAACATTTGGCGTCCATGACAGGATATTGTCTGCAAGGTAAGCGACTTTTTTTATTTTGAAGCCTTAAAGTTAGCACAAACTCAATATAGAAGATTATTTAGTAAAGCGTGTAATGAATTTGACAATGAAGAAACTAAATTTAATCAGGAAGAAAAATTAATTAAAATAAAAGTTATTGCTGAGAAAGCTAAAGTTTTGCTTGATACTGAAATGAAAATACGAGAATTAATGTTTAAAGAAATTACAGATGAGACTTTACTTATTAAGGAAATAGATGAATCTGAATTATATTTTGATAGGTGGAGACTTATGGAAAGTAAACTAAAAGATCTTACTTCTGGTACCCCGAATGTAACTTTAATTGATCCATCTTTTGTTCAGAATAAAATGTTACATTATCCGAAGATTAAATTGCCTATCTTTGACGGTAACGTGAAGAGAAATGGCTAGGCTAGGATTTTGGGGGCAATTCCAAAAGATTGATAAAGATCCTACATTAGATAATAATGATAAATTTGCTTATTTGGCACAGGCTATGGAGAAGAATTCTCCCGCAGAGGAAATAGTTAAAAGCTTTCCGCCAACTGGCGATAGTTACAAGAGCGCAATTGAAGCATTGCAAACGCGTTTTGGTAACAAAGAATTACTAACGGAGATTTATATTCGTGATTTGTTAACCCTTGTTATTCAAAAACAAAGTACACACTCTTTACGGAAACTATATGATGAACTTGAATCTAATCTAAGAGCCTTGGAGATATTGGGAATAAATAGAGGCAAATATTGCGCGATATTGTACCCATTGGTAGAATCAGCATTGCCGAATGAAGTCTTAAAAACGTGGGAGAGACTTAGGTTTTCGCGTAAAGGATCAGAAAGTTTAACCGGCGAAAACGCCGAGTTAAGAGAAAGGGAATCTGACCTTGAGCGCCTTTTATGTTTCTTGCGCGGTGAAGTTGAAAGTGAGGAAAGAATTTCTTTAGCAGCTAAATCTTTCAATGTTTTCGATCGATTGGCTCACGGTAATAAGAAAGGAAATTCGGTTTAAAGATAAGAGAAC